CCTGAAAGTATTTGCACACACTTTGCCCACACATGAAATGAGGGCTTGGATCAGAGACCCCTGAGCTCCCTTCTGATCAAAGTTTCCAGATCATGGTGGTCCACACGATCCCCAGGTCCATCCCAGCCAGGGGGTTCATTCTGGGGTGAACACTCCCTTACCATTCAGCTCTCTTAATAGCACTACGGGTGGGTGCTGCAGCGCTAGCCCACACCTCTGACGCAGGCGGGTGGTGAGAGACTGGGGTCCCAGCAGGAGCCAGAGCACAGGGTAGACAGTGGAGGTGTCATTCAGGGTGAGATCATAATCCAGAGCCCAATCAAAATTGTTCCAAAGCCGGCGATGGAGCATGACCTGCAGGGAAGAGCTGTCTGACCGGCCCTGCCGCCCACCTGCTCCCACCCCTGAGTGACCAGCAGGGCCCACTTCCTACCTCCACCTGCCCGTTCTCTTGGCTGGACACGCCGTGTGCCTGCTTGGACAGCAGCACCAGCCTGCTTCTGCCGTCCTCAATGAATGCGGACTGAGCCATGGGATAGTAATTCTGTGGACACAAACACTGCCAGGCTGGCGGGTGGGGCAGAGGACAGGAAGGCCTCTCGGTCCGGGTCCCCCTCCAGCCACCCCACACCCTCCACCCCACGCACAGAGCGCCAGCTCAGGGTGGAGAAGGGAGACAGAGGTTAGAGGCTCTGACGTTGGACACCAACAGACTGTCACTCCAATCCAGCTCCACTGCTTCTGACCATATGAGCTGGGGACTAAGCCCACTCAAGCTCGGTTTCCCCACCAGTACAAAGGGCCCAAAGATGCAGTGTGCACAGTCCTGCAGGAGTGAGGAGGGGGTGTGTGGGGTCCAGCCTGATAGGGGAGCTAGGTGGGGAGTTACTCCAGAGAGAAAGGGCCATGTGTGTTCTGGGAGAGCGGCCCCTGTCCCCAGGCTCTGTGCTCAGCTGGAGCCAATGTCCTGGGTGGACCCATGGGGACTGTCAGCAGCCCCTGCACAGCAGGTGAGGGCTAGCGGGAAGGGATGAAGGGACCTGAACTCACAAGCAGAGTAGGGTGGGGACACATCCCTCCTGGTGCCCCCAGGAGGATAAAGAACTGATTACTGAAGGCACAGGAGGCCCCCAGCAGGGGCTTCACCTGGATTGTCCCCCCTGACCCTCACAGCCCTGGATTTGTTCCCTTTCTCGGGTCTGCAGGGAGCCATAGGGAGGCCGGCCCAGTTTGCCCAGGATCACAGGGCCCGAGGCCTAGGACATGGGAGCCCATCTGGCTTCGGGCCATGCTCAGTGCTTGGTAGAAGCTGCTGGGCAGAGTCTCTGCAGCAGCACCTGGCATGAGTCAGGCACACTCAACCTGAATCCTAGGACACCCCACATGAGGCGTTCATTTTCCACAAGTGAAAACCGAGGCACAGACAGGGACAGGGACAGTCCAGTGCAAGGGTGCACACAGGGAATTTGAGGGCTGGTCCCTCAACCACTGTCCAGCTGGGAGACGAGGCCTGACTCAGAAGCAACCCAAGGCTAGCCTGAGGACTCTGCCCTCCATGTCCTGACCAGGTAGGCTCAGAAGTTGTCTGGCCCTCCCCTGGTTCCAGGTGCTCCCCACACCCCCTATGCTGGCTACTGGGCCGTCCTCCCACCTGCCACATCCTCTCTCAAGAGGATCTTTGGAGTGATGAGGACAGAATTGTGATGGACCCCACAGCAGGGGACTTCCTCATGCTCTGTGGCTGCAGGGCTGTGGACAGCTGCCTTCAGGGTTTGGACGTTTCATTGGGATGGGTACCCTCAGTGTCTGGACCCAGTCATCCTGAGTGGCTCCTGAGACAACAGGCACAGGGGGTGTGTCACCCGTCCCTTCTTTCCCCCCAGGAGCACCTTTCCCATACCCTCTGCAGCTGGCAGTGGGTCCCGCGGCCATTCCGACCTCACTGGATTCACGGGGACTGACCTGACCTTGCTTCTGGCTGCTGCATGCTGGCCCCTGGGCTCTTATGTGTGTCCTCTTACCTGCAGAGCCCCCAGCACACCCAGTGCTGCCCTGGCCCCACTTCGTTGGCCGGGCTGGTTGGGGAAGCCCATCTCTCTGAGCACCTAGTGGACTGGTTCGTGCTCCTGCAGCAGGTAAGAGGTGGGGTTGGGAGGTGTACTGGACTGAACTTCATACCTTGCACACTGGAGACCACCTAGATCCTCCAGGGAACAGGGGTCACGGCCGTATCATACAATCACCTTCACGTGCACTTCGGGGAGAAAGTGCCGGGAGAAAGTGCCTCATTCAGGTTTGAATCCTGCAGCGGCCCTACAAAGCCTCATGGAGGGCAGAGCTTTGGGTGAGGACGATGTGAACCCCACACACATAATAGGGATTTATAAACAGAGTGAATGCTATGGAGCAGGAGTGAGAGGCCATGAAGGGGTCTCTGTGAGCCTTTCAGCAAGACAGAGAGGGAAAGTGCTGCTTCCCAGCCAGGGAATAACATGGACAAAGGGCCTGGGGCGGGAAAGGCTGGAAGTGCTGGGAGAATGTGGCCAGGCAGCACTGGTGGAGGGGGGAAGCTGGCTCACTGCAGCAGGATGAACCACAGCAGCCAGAACACGGCAGAGGGAACGGGTCATGAGGATGGGGAACAGTGGGGCCCAACAGCAGCTGCCGGAAGGAATGGAGTCCAGGGGGTGGGGGGTGAGGCCAGAAAGGCAGGGTGAAGAAATCTGAAAGGCTCTAAAACTCAGGCAGAGGATCAGGCTCTGGAGGGGAGACACTGGGAGCTATGGAAGGTTGGAGGCAAGAAGTTTCCAGGATCGAGGCTGTGGCCCAGAAAGTCAGTGGCACTGGAGGCAGCCCCCAGGCACTTTGACCAACAGACTGCCAGAGCCTCCAGGCCCGTCCCAGCTGCTGCAGAGCACAGATAACACTGAAATCACAAGGATTAATTGGGAGATGATGCAGGTGCACCCATCCCACAACCTCCTGCAGACCCACAAAGGAAGTTCAGGACGTTCCTTTTTCTAGATCACCCAGAACAAGTCCTGGGCACCTACTGGGTGCGGTGGCCCAGATCGGGGGCACAGGCCAGAGGACCCATGTGTGGCACTGGGCACACATTAACGTTGCCCCCAGGGAGCACCCAGCACCGTGTGTGCTTTTCCCGGGGCTTTGACTCAACTGTGCAGCGTCTGAGGGGCATCTCACTAGAGCACGGAAAACACGGCTCATGCCGGCTTTCTCCAGAAAACAGTTAGTAACCAGGGACAGATGTCACAGAAGTCACAGAATCCAGAAACCAAAATAGCCTCCTGAGGCTGAGCATTCCAGGGCCTGTTCCCAGAGAATTCTGCTCCTACTCTGCAGCCTCGTCTGAGAGCCGGCGTTCGGAGGATGGCACCCAAGCGGCTCCCACGCTCTCCCCAGCCCTGGGGGCACCCAGCCTGCAACCCTGACAAATTATGTTTGGAGCTGGAGCTCCATGCTGTGGTATCTTGTGACGGCAGCTGCAGTAGACCGTGCTCACCCGCTGCGGACCAAGCTCGGGAAGACGGAGAGAGAGTCATCCACTCTGCGTGCAGAGGAGGTGCCAGGTCCACCGTGACCTCTGGAGGGAGAGGGAGGGATCAGAGATTGGGCAGGTGAGCATGGGCTCCCAGGGGACAGTGTGTGAGGTGAGAAGCCTCTGGGTGACAGTGCTCACGGTAGGCCCAGGGACACTCGTCTTACCAAGCTATAGCACACAGGGAGCTCAGAGATGGGCTGCCCCCAACCAGCCCGGCCGATGAAGTGGGGCCAGGGCAGCACTGGGTGTGCTGGGGGCTCTGCAGGTAAGAGGACACACATAAGAACCCAGGGGCCAGCATGCAGCAGCCAGAAGCAAGGTCAGGTTGGTCCCCGTGAACCCAGTGAGGTCGGAATGGCAGCGGGACCCACTGCCAGCTGTGGAGGGTACGGGAAAGGCGCTCCTGGGGGGGAAAAACAGACAAGTGACACACCCCCTGTGCCTGTTGTCTCAGGAGCCACTCAGGATGACTGGGTCCAGACACTGAGGGTACCCATCCCGATGAAACGTCCAGACCCCTTGCTCAGGTGCCAGCCCGACTCAGGTTCCAAACCCAAAACCCATAGATGGAAGGAGACCCCGGGTCCCTCGGAGAAAGGAGTTGCAGGGCCCGGCAGGGGCCTATTGGAAGCATTCCTCCACCCCTTCCCCAAGGAGGCTTCTGGTCATTGACTTGACGCTGGAGAGACAGGATTCCTAATGTTTTGAGGGCCGCAACTTAAATCAGCACCAGACTTTCTGGGGTGAGGAATTCAGGAGTGATGCAGCTGGGTGAGTCTGGCTCAAAATCCTTCATGAGCATCTTCCAGTAAGGACTTGGCTGGGACTCTTGGAGCTGGATGGGGGCAGGGTCAGGAAGGGTGGCTGCAGAGCCAGTCCAGGCTGTGGGTGGGACGCCTTAGCCCCTCTCTGTGTGGCCCCTTCAGAGCTGCTACAGGGACCTGGGTATGGAGGCTGACTTCCTAGAGGTAGGAAGGGGGGAAGCATCCCGGGAAAGCCGCCCTGGGGCTTGGGATTCTGCTTAGATGTGGACATTATGGGGGCACCTGGGTGACTCAATGGGTGAGCAGCTGCCTTTGGCTCCGGGTGTGATCTCGGGGTCCTCAGATCAAGTCCTGCATTGGGCTCTTTGCAGGGAACCTCTGCCTATGTGTCTTTCTCTGTGTGTCCCTCATGAATAAATAAGTAATATCATTAAAAAAAAGAAAAGAAGTAGAAGTGTGGACAGGACTGGAGGGGAGGGCGGAGCAGGAAAGTTGGTGTCCATGTTCCACCCCCGGCCTAACTCAGGTGACAGCAACACCTCTGTTGGCCCTGCTCCTCCTGTTCCTGTCAGCTCCTCCCCCAAGTGTGCTGATCTCTGCTGTCTGTCTAGGGGACCCGTCCCTGGTGGCCTGCAGGGACAGCCAGAGCAGCCCCCGGCTACCCTGGCAGCAGCATGTGGTCGGTCGGCTGGCTCCCCGTGCTCACACAGCTGCTGCTGCTGCAGTTCCTGGTGGCTCAGCCCGTGAGCCCCATCAGGGTGTTCGTGGTGCCCCACAGTCACATGGATGTGGGCTGGATCTACACGGTGCAGGTAGGTGCCTGGTCGCTGCTCCCCACGCGCCCCTGGATCTCAGCCTCCTTCTCCTGCCAGATCCCAGTGTGGCTTAGAAGCCTGGGGTCAGCTGCCACCTGGGGGGGAACCAGCTTGTGTGAGTCCTGACTCTGCTGGAGACAGAGGACACTGACCAGGGCTCGGTGCTGCTATTCTCTGGCTTCAGTGTCTCCATCCGTGCCAAGGAAAGTGGGATGAAGAGGCGGGGGCCTGACTCAGGCCATGGTCCCAGTGCGAGACTGAGGCACCCTGGGTGGACTGTGTCCCGTTTCGGAGCCTCCACGTCCCCCTTCCGTAGGATGGCACAGGCCTTTGCACTGGTTGTTCCTCTGCCCAGAAGGCTATCCTCCCACACACCTGCAGGACTCAATCTGCCCCATCCTTTGGGGGGCTCCACAAAAGGTGCTTCCTGGCCAGGCCTCCCTGGCATCCCTCTCTGTGCCCTATTTCCTTCCCCATCCTCCCTTCCTGCCACATTACTTGAGGGCTACTGGACAGTCCTTGTCCCCACTAAGGCTAGCTTCACAGGGCACAGGTTCGTTCATTTTATTTCCTGACACTCCATACATTTCAGACACAAGAGGTACACCAGGAATCACTGAATGAAGGAATGTAGGAATGAATGATGAATGATGGAAAAGGAGAGGGAACAGCCTCAGATTTGTCCAGGAATCTGGGCTGGTGACTGAATATTGTCACCCAGGCTGCCTCCAGCTCTTTTGTGGGAAGAGGCAGGAAACCCAGTAGAGAACAAACAGTCTCTGGGATTAGGGATCTGGTAACTTTCTGAGGTCGTTGCTAAGTGGGCAGCTGGACTCATCAGGAGAGAGAAGCAGCAGGAGGATGTGACTCTGGGCAGTGGGGGAGTCTGGTCCTGGACTCACTGGGCAGCCTCTGGGGGACACTCATGGGCCCTTGGAGATGGCTAAAGGAGGGGAACGAGCTTGTACCCCTCAGTTACAGAGGAGGAAACTGAGGCCCAGAGAGGGTTAATGACTTGCCTGAGGGCACCCAGGAATGACCCCCACCGCCCACTCCTGAAGCCTCTCAGCCCAGGCTCATTTACTCCTTTTTTTTTTCTTAAGATTTTATTTATTTATTAGAGAGACAGAGAGTGAGAGAGACACAGGCAGAGGGAGAAGCAGGCTCCATGCAGGGAGCCGGACGTGGGACTTGATCTAGGGTCTCCAAGATCCCACCCCAGGCTGAAGGCGGTGCCAAACCGCTGAGCCACGGGGACAGCCCTTATTCACTCCTTTCAAGGAGCAGGTCTGGGCACTGCCGTGTGCCAGCCTGGAGACACCTATGAGAAACAGGTGCGGCTGCATCCTGGGAGCCCCCAGCCAGGGAGGGGAGGTAGGCAGGCAGGTGCCCAGGACCAGCCAAGGGGGCCAGGGGCAGCTCTTTTCAGCTTCTGGTCTCAACACCAGCTCCCCTCATCTCAGCCCAGGCAGGCCCCAAGGGCACCCTGGACCCCCTCCCCTGTCACTCCATGGCTGCACTGCGCTGTCTCCACACCCTAAGGGCCCCCTCAGGAAGCTGTCCCTGATCCCTGGTTCAGGCTGGCACATCCTCCCGCCCACGTCATGTGTCATGGTCTGGAACATCATCTCTGTCCCGAGAACAGCAGGATCTCAGCAGAGGTGGGAGGGTCATGAGGCCCTCTCAGGCCCAGCCGGCACTGGGTGTCCAGCACCTACAGGGCACCCGGGGTCCTCCATGTGAGCAGCAGAGGAAGAAGCAGAGGAAGAGCCCTGGGCGGATGCCTCCAGGGGGTGGCGGGGCCCAGGGACACGATGTCACTCTGGAGTTTGCTCCTGGAGCCTTGGGGCCAACAGTCCGGGAGCCTCCCCAAGGGCTGGTGTGACGGCGGCCCCCTCCCCAGGAGAGCCTGCGGGCCTATGCTGCCAACGTCTATACCACGGTGGTGGAGCAGCTGATGCTCCAGAAGCAGCGCAGGTTCATCGCCGTGGAGCAGGAGTACTTCCGGCTGTGGTGGGATGGCATCGCCTCCTACAGGCAGAAACGCCAGGTACCCCCCCCTGCAGGGGCCTCCTGGGGGAGGGTGGGGTGCCAGGGGCTGTGTGACTTGAAGCTCAGGCCCAGACACACTGGATGGTTCCCAGGCTTGTTACCTCAGATTTGTGCTCAGACGCCGCCCCCAGGACAGGTTGGGGGTTTTTTGTTTGTTTTCTTTTGTTTTGTTTTTTATAAATGTATTTTTTATTAGTGTTCAATTTGCCAACATATAGAATAACACCCAGTGCTCATCCCATCAAGTGCCCCACTCAGTGCCCGTCACCCAGTCACCCCCACTCCCCGCCCACCTCCCCTTCCACCACCCCTAGTTCGTTTCCTAGAGTTAGGAGTCTTTATGTTCTGTCTCCCTTTCTGGTATTTCCCACTCATTTTTTCTCCTTTCCCCTTTATTCCCTGTCACTATTTTTTATATTCCCCAAGTGAATGAGACCATATAATGTTTGTCCTTCTCCGATTGACTTATTTCACTCAGCATAATACCCACCAGCTCCATCCATGTCGAAGCAAATGGTGGGTATTTGTCGTTTCTTTTTATTATTATTCTTAATAATCATAAACATTTATTAAGCACCAAGAGTATACTGCAATGGTTGCTATATAAAAGCTTATTTAACAATATAGTGTCCCTGCCATTGAGCTTACAATCTAAAATGAAATACAACAAGAATGCTGTTAAGACTATCTCAAAATTTCCTTAACTTAGAAATGGCTATTTTGGCACGTAACTGAGGCAAAATGGCCTATCATTTTAGGTACAATGTTAATAAGGCTTTGAACATGATCCAGATGTCAGTGTGCAGCCTTATGCCAGCACCTCGACATTTCCCTCAATTATATTAGGCTTGGTAAGGAAAAGCGCACTTAGAAGTTGGGTAAGAAGAATGAATTATTTCAAATTGCCTTGTAGGACTTTAAACAGAGAAATGCTTACCAGCCTGAGTTTTTCCACAGCCAGGAAAAACTCTACAAAAAATATTATGAGCTCAATCAAGCCCATCTTCGATGTATTTGTCATTTCTAATGGCTGAGGAATATTCCATTGTATACATAGACCACATCGATGGACACCGAGGCTCCTTCCACAGTCTGGCTATTGTGGACACCTGCACCCCGATGTTTATAGCCGCAATGTCCACAATAGACAGGTTGGGTTTTAATCAGCCTCGTGGTGATAGGTGTAAAGTGTCAGCCTGGCAAGCCAACCGGGCACTCAGCTGGTGCTGAATGGGGTCACTTCTGACCTCAGCACTCCGGAGGGGCCCTAACCCCACCTCCTGCATCACCGACCCCACCGACCCCTGGCCCCACGGGCACGCAGCTGGCTGCCCTCCCAGGTGCTACAGTCCCTGAGTTAGTGGGCTGCAGGAGGCATCACAGGCTGCAGGAGGCATCACAGAGGCCTCACCCCACAGGGAGGCAGCCTGGGACCCAGCTCCGCCTCAGGCAGGGGTGCACGCTGTGAGCTGGGGGGCCCGCCTGCGCAAATGGGAGTGACCTCCCCCTCCTCGGAGTGGACAGGCCAGATGATGCAGGACGGGAACACCTGGGAGGACGCTGTGGACCTGGCCCCCTCCCTGCCATTCACCTTCCTTCAGAGCAGTCACCGATCGTGAACGTCAAGGAGGCTAGAGACGTGCCCAGGGTAGTAAAGCTGAGAAGGCAAAGCAGAGAGTCAGTCCCCCCAATCAAACTGGGGGCTCTTCACCCTGCAACCTGTGGAATCCCAAGGAGGAGCCTCGCAATCATGGGCACCGGCTCTGCTTCTCACACTGGATTAGCGACACTGTTGCATCCGTGTCAAATGCCCTATGTGGAGCCTTACACTATGTTACACTATGGTTATAAGCACCCTCTCCTGACAAGCACAGTGAAGGACCTGGGCGGAAGGCTGCTATGTCTCACTGGTAATTTCAAATGGTTTGGAGAAAACCCTCCCAGGTTACAAGGAGATGGGGGAGCGCTACGGCAAACAGGTGAAGAAGGTTCACAGTGAACAATCTGCGGAAGGGCTCAGATTACCCGGGAGCCACTTGCACACTTCTTGCAAGTCTTTCAGAAATTTCAAATTATTTCCACAGCGAAAAGGTAACAGATGTAGATACAGACATGGAGACACAGGAAAAGATAGACAAGGAGGTAGAAACAGAGGTAGAGAAAAAGGTAGACATGGATGTAGAGACAGAAGTAGAGACAGAGGTGGACACAACAGAGATCAAGTACAGCCAAGGGCCAGGTGCTGGCGCGGGGGGTGGGAGGCAGTGCTGACCTGCCGCTCTTGCAGAATGAAGGCACGGGAGGGCTTTGATGGAGGACACCATGAGACACTGGAGGCATGTCCCCACAGACCCAGCCCTACTGTGGGGTTCTATCCCGGCTTCGTTCTCTCTGCTTGTCACCAAGGTCCGCCATCTCCTGACCACAAGACGCCTGGAGTTTGTCATCGGGGGCCAGGTCATGCATGATGAGACCGTGGCCCACTTTGATGACCAGATCCTACAGCTCACAGGTGAGGTCCTCCTTCCCCATCCCCCGGGTCTCCTGGGGCCTCCAATCAGACTGGGACTGGGTTTCTGAGCCCAGGTCTGAGCCCCGACTTCGCCTCTGAGCAGGACCCTGAGGCCAGTAGAAACAGGCATTGGCGAGTGGCGTCATCCTGCCAGTGCTGCTGAGTGCAGGGGTGTGGACGTGGACTGGAGACCACATGGCCTGGCGCTGTCCTGCCTCTGCCCATTCCCAACCCTGTGACCCAGGCAAGGGACGTCACCTCCCTGGCCTCTGTTTCCTCATGACTTAAATGAGTGTGATGGCACTGCCTACGCCCCAGAGTAGTTGTGAGGATCAAATTCGGACAATTCATTAGAGCACTGGGAGTGGAGCCTGTGGTTCCCAGAAAATGAGTAGTGAGGTTAGATGCCATTGCTGCCTTCCCCACCCATACATACAGGGCCACAGCACCAGCACGGTCACCCTCCAGCCTTCCCCCAAGTGCCACCACCACCACCACCTGTATCATCTTACTACCACCAATCACACTGACTGCCACTGCCCCACATACACCACCTGTGTCCGCATCACGATGACCACCATCATAATTTCCAGCATCATCACAACTAGCTTCGTGACTTCAGAGGCCCATCCACACCCCAGCAAATACCGCCACCCACTCCCACTTCATGGCCATCAACCCTCAGGGACCTCCTAGGCCACAAGCCCTGTCTCTGCCCGGTGCAGCTACCACTACGGCTACCATCACCACCACCACCATTACCATGCACCTTTGTCCTAGAGACACTTTCCTCTCCACGTACCGAATGCCCTCAGGAGCAGCAGCAGCTCATCCTGTCCTCTCTGCAGGCTGCTGTGGGCACATGGTCTCCAGTTTCCATGTGCTCAGATGACCCTGACCAAAGAAGAGCCAAAAGTCAGTGGATGGGCCGGGTCTTCACTCAGGCCTGTGACTGCAGCCAAGAACTGAGGTCACTCCATGACACAGGAGCCCCATTTACCCTTGGTATAAACCAGAAGGATGGAAAGGGATGCTGTCTAATGACCTGCTCACACTGTCTCCCCTGACCCCGGCTTGAACGATGGTACTTTCTAGCCATGAATAGCTAAAGCCAATGAAAATTGATCTCTTGAGCTGGGCAGGGTATTGTCAGGCCTGGCTTGCTCTGGCTCCCTGTCTGTAGAGAGGACTGTTCCTCAAGCTACCCGCCCCCAATCCAGTGATGCTGTTGAGCATTCCCTGACAAGCTCAGGCCCCACAACCCCGAGGTCTTGCCACTGCTGCTCCTTCATCGTCTCTTCTGCTTCCTGCCCTGGGTTTTCTGACACAGTACGTGGTGGCAGGCCTGGGGAACAAGAACCAATGTCTGGCACTAGTCTGGAATTTCTTTCCCCTGCAGCACTCAACCTGATATCAGACTCATGGGGTGGCTCTACAGTCGTGAATGAGTACATGGAACATCGGGTGATCCTGCTGTGGCACCCTCTGGGTTAGGCCCTCTTGCAGCACACCCCAGGATGGCACTCCAGCCCCCTGGAAAGGCAGGGGCCCTGAGTGAGCAGGTGGGGAGGGACCACCCTCCTGTCACCAGCAAGGCAGGGCTCTCTTTGCAGAAGGACACGGTTTCCTGTACGAAACCTTTGGGATCCGGCCGAGGTTCTCCTGGCAAATCGACTCCTTTGGTGCATCTGCCACGACCCCCACCCTATTTGCCCTGGCAGGCTTCCATGCCCACGTCATCTCCCGCATCGACTATGCCCTGAAGGACACCATGCAGAACTCACAGGTGAGCCGTGAGCCACATCCGCTGCTGCCTCTCGCCCCTGATCCTTCCCTCTGTGTGCAGGGCACGTTACCAAGCCCCTGCTGTAGCGAGTATCGTGTCCGGGGTTACTCGGGTAATAACGCTCTGGGACAAATGCTAGCTGCGGCCCGCAGCGGTAGACAAGGGTGCAGGTGGGCTCTAGCTGGGCAAGAGGAGAACATGGTCCTGAGCCCCACCTCATGCCACGCTGTGCGCAGAGTTCACTTCCCATGTCAGCTCATTTCTGCCGCTGCTGACTCTGTGAGCTGCGTGGGGCCCTCCCCATTCTTCCCATGCAGAAACTGAGTCCCAGGGGACTCAGGGAACATGTGCATCGTCCCAGAGCCAGTGCTTAATAGAACCAGGATTTCCCCCTGCTTTGTAACCCTGAGCGGGTCCCAGTCGTGAGAGCAATGAAGAACAGACCAAAGGATTAGTGAGAGGTGAGCGGCTCCTGTGCCAGGAGGTCGTCAAGCAGAGCCAGAACGAGCTTCGCTGGCAGGCCTTGGTAGAGAGGGTCCTTCCCCGGGGCAGGCGGCAGGGGTGGGGGGCAGTGAGCAAGCAGGCTGGCTCCAACTAGAGGGCAATTTCCACAAACATGGATGGCCTTGGGGGGGGGGTCAGAGGGAATCTAGAGGAGGCAGCAGAGGGGTTGGCCCCTGGAACCACTGAGGGAGACCCAAGTGGGGCTGGGGGAGGCAGAACCAGGGCTTCCGTGTTGCCCCTGGGCTGTCACTCTGTTCCCTCTGGGTTTGCAGGGGCTGCAGTTTGTGTGGCGAGGGTCCCCATCCCTGTCAGCTCAGCAGGAAATCTTCACGCATGTCTTGGACCAGTACAACTACTGCTCGTGAGCACCTTCCTGGGGAGCCCAGTTCAAAGCACTCTCCCTCTGTTACCTGAGAAACGACCCACTCTCCCGTGCATCCTCTTGGGACACTCTGGCTTACACAAAGAGAAACTGAGGCAGGGTCACTCAGCCAGGGTCCTAGGGCCCGCAGTGGCAGGGTCAGGTTGGTTTGGACAGACTATTTCCAGGCCTCTACAGCATGGGTACAGCCAGGCTGTGGGCTCTTGGGTCGAGAGGCCCTAGGTCCAACTCACTCTGGCCCTTTCGACCTTGATGCCATAGAGAATTGAGCTCCCCTATCCTGGAAAAGGAGAGATTATTGGGCAAGGTGAAGGACTTCAGGACCTCTTCTCTAGCCCATGATGTGCACCAGGCAAGGTCTCCAGGGTTTTCCACTGATGTCCTTTATTGATTCTAACAACCATCAGGACATTAATGGGTGAGGAGACCTGAAGCTCTGAGGATCCAAGTGGCCACTCCTGGATGCTGGCCCGGGTCACCCCTATGTCACTCCATGCTGCCTGGAATGAGGCAGGAGGGACCCTAACTGGAGCATCCGGACCCTCAGGGTCGATCTTGGGGTCTGTGTCATACAGACCAAATTGGAGCCTGAGACAAAAGGGAAAATCCGAATACTGCCCTTGCGCTTGGGGGGAATGTTGGTATTCTGTCCATCACCATTTGTTTCGCATTAATTCTGAGTTTTGAAGTATGACACCAACTTACCTCCATGTCACCTCCCGAGACTGGGCTCTCCCTTACACTCGCAGCCCAGGGCACTGTGCATCACAGCCTCACCCTGCCCCAGCCCTGCTCTGGGCTTTGGACTCAGGTCTGAGGGTACCACAGTGGCCTCCGTGAGATCCCCAGTGGGAATGCAGACTGTGGGCTCCATGGGGCGGGGGAGGCAGTGTGGGCCCAGGAAAGGGGCCGTGTTCCAGGCCCCACAGCTGGCGAACTGTGACATGTGGATTTGAGCCCCATCTGTCAGAGGAGCTCTTGTCGGCCACCACTGACCTGCCCATCACACAGGTGTGAGAAGAAGGCCTGAGCGCCGGTCTGTACACCCTGAGCTGCCCTGTGGCCTGGCTGCACCTGCCTGTCCTCCTGGACCCCGAGCTGCCTCCCCTCTCAGGGCGGGGCTCTGCTAACCCTTCTCTCCCCTGCAGGGAAGGCTTTAACTGGGACGGGACTGCTGTCTTCCCGAACTCACCGCCAGACAGGGTATTTCACCCGAAGTCTGTACCCATCACTTGGAACAATATCAATTACTATGTCAGTCTCCTTGTGGACAATGTGAAGGCGCGGGCCACCTGGTTCCGGACACCGCACCTCCTCTGGCCCTGGGTAAGGCAGGATCCCAGGCCTCAGTGTCCTGACCACAGCCCTGGATTCCTGTCCAGTCTCACCCAACCATGCTCTTTCCAGGGGAGAGGCCAGACAGCCATCTCAAATCCGAGGCGGTGCCTCTTCCCTGCACAAGGCCTCACCCCTTCCGCCAGCTCCTGCCACTACCCTGGACTCCCCAAGCCTCTCCCACCTGAAATATAGCCCTGGCCCCTGCCAGCCCCCAGTTCCACCCAGATCCTCGATCCTCCTCTTGCCATCTCAGTGTTGGGACATGAGGCTGGGTAGGAATCCTGAACCCCTGCTCAGACCCTGTGTGCCTCAACCCCTTTGGGTCTCACTTTCCTCATCTCTAACGTGAGGATCATGACTCACAGGCTGAGACTGAGGGGAGGCATGCCCCGTGTCAGTGTCAGAGTGTCAGACACTCCCTTCTCCTCTTCCTTTTTGGCTTCCTCCTCAACATTACATTCAGATCTAACCCTCACTAGCCTCCCCAGGGCACAAGGCACCTTCTATGTGATACATTTGTCTCTTCCTCTTAGTCTGCCCATGGGCCTAGGAGGCAGACACTGATGGTATCCCATTTTGACAATGAGAGACCTGAGAACCAGATAGGTCAAGGGATCGTCCTGAGACCGCACAGCTACTTAGCAGGGCAGCTAAGATGGGGATTTGTGCTCACACCTGGCTGGGCACTCCCTACTCTGTCTTCTTATGTCTTGAGTGCCTATGGGAAAGTGCACAGAGGGTTAGTAAATGTGGGTGATGGTGGTTATCCCTGGCATTCCTAATTTTCATATTATTATTGTTAATGATATTGATGAAGAGTCATACTGCTGGTGTTTAAGAAAGGCCCACGGAGTGAAGTAAGTCAGAAAGAGAATTCCAACCCTGCACAACCTCATTTAATGTGGTTCTGAAAGCATCAGATGTAGAGAAAAGAGATGAGTTTTTTAGTTCCCAGACTTGAGGGGTGAAGGAGTGTCAAAGGTACAGACTTCAGTTATATGAGAAACATGTGTTGGAGGTGTAATGTAGAGCATGATGTAAAACCTAACAAGATTTTAGTGAGAACAGTAAGCAAAAAGGAAGGAAGAAAGGAAGGAAAGAAGAAAGGAGGGAGGGAAGGAAGGAAGGAAGGAAGGAAGGAAGGAAGGAAGGAAGGAGAAAGGAGGAAAGGAAGAAGGAAGGAAGGAAAGAGGGAAAAAGGAGGAAGAAAGTAGGAGGGATGGGGGAAGGAATGAGGGACAGAGGGAGGGAGGGAGGGAGGGAGAGAGGCGTGCAGGAAGGAAAGGGACACAGGGATGCACTCGGGAGCTGGTGGGGCCTCTCCCAGGCAGAGCGGAGGGCCCTGGATGGCCGAGGGGGGCCGCTCTGCCTGGACTGGGTTCAGCCCCACAATCACGGGGGTCGCGCTGTGGCCCGGCCTGCAGGGCTGTGACAAGCAGTTCTTCAACGCGTCGCTGCAGTTCTCCAACATGGACCCGCTGCTGGACTTCATCAACAGTAACTCGCCCAAGCTCGGCATCTCCGTGGAGTACGCCACGCTGGCCGACTACTTCGCGGCGGTGCAGGCTCACAACGTCTCGTGGCGCGTCCACACCCACGGGGACTTCCTGCCCTATTCCTCCGGTAGGAGCCCGGGCATCCTAGGACGGCAGGACATTCCCGGGACGCCCCGGAGGCTTCCTGCTTCCCTCCCCTCATTCCCTTCCCTTCCAGGAGATGCCCCAAGGAGCCCCACGCGGGAGCTGCCTCCCGGGGCGGGGCGCTGCCCTGACCCGCCCAACAGGACGCCTGCTCCAGCCCCTGGGCCCCCACCTCTCTCTGTGCGGCGACCAGGGGGAGCTGCACGGCTGTCAGGCCTTTTTCTGTCTGACCAGCACTGGTGGCCGGCCAGAAAATCCCGCCAGGGAAAGAGGCTACAGGGATGTGCCCAAGGTTGCACTAGAGGAGGGAGGTTTCTAGCTGTGGGCGGGGTGACAGGCAAAGCGGAGCCGGCCCATGAGTGTGGGCGCGGTCACAGGGGAGGGGGCGAGGCTACTCCCAGTGGGTGGGGTGACAGGCCATGATGTGGGCGGGGCTGTCGGGGAGATGGGAGGGACACAAGGGTGACCTAGGGATAAAGACAGGGTGCCATGGGATTCGTCATGTGGATGTGGCTCACTCAAGACAAAGCAGCTACAGTGGAGATGGGATGGGCCACAGTGATGGAGGGGATGGGTACAGTCCAGGTGAAATTGGATATGTTGAAGTGAAGGGCTCTTACAGGTGAGGTGCGAAGGGATACTACAGAGACCTGGGAGTGGATTCCAGACAGAGGTGACACGTGCAAGTGGGCGGGATTACCGTCAGGGTGGGCGTGGCTACCCTGAGGTAGACAGGCTGACAACTGAGATGAAGGCCACATCCACAAGGCCTTGGCTGCCATCCTGTGGGAGGACACACAAGGGTGTGAGCTTGGCTAGGGTGGGGGTGGGAGGGGCAAATTGATGTGGGCTGGTTACAGGTGCAGTTCCAGGACCACGTGCCTCTGGGCGTGGTTACGGTCCAGGTAGGGGTACTGCCCAGGTAGGTCCAGACAGGGCAATGTCCAGCAGGTGTTCTGTCCTGAATGGGCATGGCTTGCTGTAACCCCCCAGCAGAGACAGTGTTTATGTGGAGACTGGACAGGTACGGTGAGCCCTGGGCCCTGCTCTGGGTCACGGGGGCCTTAGAGCTGAGGCTGTGGAGAGCCCCTGCCTGGCCAGGACACTCAGCCTGCTGGAGGGGCTGTGGACAGCATGTCCACCTGATCCCACGGCCTGTGGCCTTTCCCCGGGCCCGTGGGGCTACCCTTCCTGGTGTCCTCAGGCCGTGTGGGGAAGGTCAGGGAATGGGGACACAGGCCAGCCTGGGAGGAGGCAAGGGGCGAGAACAGTGGGAAGAGTCAAGCAGCTTGTGAGACCCAGCCAGGGCCTGGGGAGGCACCCCGCACCCCCTCCTCTCACCAGAGCCCCAAACAGGCGTCATCCTCTGGGTGCAGGTCAGCACAGCAGCTAGGGGATCCCTCAGCAATCCCCCATTCCAGCTCCCTGGGCCAGTGGAACCCCACTGATTGCAGGCTTCCCCTGAGTCACAGGCAAAGGCCTCTGCCAGCACTCAGGGTACGTGCCAGCTGGTGCTGCCTGCTGGGCTCCCACCTTCCCCTGCACTCCTCAGAGGTCTCCCAAGCCCTTGGCTCACAGGCTCTTCAAATTCCCAGGTCCTCCCTGGACTGTCTGGTCCCCCATCCCAGGCCTGGCCCAGCCCAGCCTGATCCTCCCACCTGCCCCAGCCCCCACAACAGGGATCCGCGGGCCATTCCTGGCCTGGCTGGACAGGAGTCTCTGGCTGCCTCTAGAGGTGACCCAGGCAGAGCCAGACCCCAGGCTCCAGGTTCCCCAGCCTTACTGGAGAAGGGAGGGAGGGAGACTCATGCCAACTGCCAGCCCTTCTCTCCAGATCCATTTCAGGCCTGGACGGGCTTCTACGCCTCCCGCAGTGGGCTCAAGGCGCTGGTGAGGCGAGCCAGTGCTCTGTTGTATGCCGGGGAGTCCATGTTCACACGCTACATGTGGCCTGCCCCCCACCAGCACCTGGACCCGGCCTGGGCCCTGAAGCAGCTCCAGAGGCTCCGCTGGGCAGTCTCCGAGGTAATGTCACACCTCTCAGCATGATGTCAGGTTGAAACCTCCTGTGTAGTGCACTTCCCCAGCCCCTGGTCGCTAGAGGTCACTTTCCAGAGGAGTTCTCTGAGGTGGTGGGTGGGTGTGGACACTGGACCAAGGCTAGAATCACGTCCTGACAACGCTCAGCTGGTGGGTTCAGTAGGCTTTAGAGCCAAAGGGCAGAGGGTAAAGGGCAGACGGGAGAGGCGTTAATGTCCTGTGTGGATTCAGTCCTCCTCTGCTGGTGGCTTCAGGCTCAGGACTGCCCTCTCTGAGCATAATTCCCTCCCTGGACAATGAGAAATTCACGCCCACCCCAGGGTGGCGAGGCTACCGAATGTGATAATGTACATAAGGTGCTGGGCATGGTGGCTGCCCCATAGCAAGTGGTTCCGATCTTCCGTCTCCACTTGTCCCCACTGTACAGATAGGAAAAGTGAGATCTGAGAAATCCTGTGACTTGTCATACCCAGCCAGAAAGGGTCACGCTGGACGTGACATTGGCAAGCTCACCTGAGGGAGTCACTAGCAGATGTGTCACTGGGGTGAAATGGGTAGACCTTAGAGTCCTTCAGAGGGGGCTGGACAAGAGGCTTCACTGGAAGGGCCTCAGCTAATCCCAGTCCCACTCTGGCGCAGAGAACGGAGGGTGCCCGGAGCATCCCAGTGGCACTTCCCGGGAGGCTGGACAGTGGAGGTGAAGCAGGGGCAGGTCCCTGACAGAAGTCTTCTCTCTTCCCGAGCTAGGGGACTCAGTGGTTCTCCACAAGCCCCTGGGGAGCGGGAAGGAGAGCCAGCACCTAGGAGGTACCCAGGTAGGTGGTGTGCAGAGGCAGGCCAGATCCCATGTTTCCCCCAATCCTGTCGGGACACAGGTCCAGCACCATGATGCCATCACTGGGACCCAGAGCCCCAAGGTGAGAGACATGTACCAGGAGAATCTGAGCTCAGGGATGCAGGGTGTGCAGGAACTGATGGCCTCCATCGTCCGTGACAAGACCCCAGCCCACTCGGGTAAGCGAGGCCCATGTACAGTGGTCCTGCAGGTCAGTGGTGGGGGGGGCGGCTCTGACCATTTCTGAGCACAGAGCCTGGGGTCAGGGAGAGGATCTGAACAACCGGAGCCTCAGACCCTGCCACCACATATCCCTGTGCAACCCTGACCTTGGCCTGAGCTTGGCAAGTGCTTGGCTGCTCATAGCCTGTGTGTCCTGTGGGTGTGGGAAGAAGGGTGACGTCGCCATGAGAGTGAGGCCTAGCGGCCGCCTCAACTTCACATTTGCTCAGCGCTCTGCACGCAGTGGTTACTGAATGCCGGGAGGGTCTGTAAGCTCGGGGCTGTTATCCTCACTGCGCAGCTGAGGACACAGCAGAGCCAGAGGCTGTGGACCTGTCCAGGGTCACTCAGCCAGGAAGGAGCAGAGCAGGGCTTGAAACCGTGGCCCCGTGCTGCAGGGTTACAGAGCATGCAGGTGTCCTCGGGGATCTGAGCCTAGCCTGGGTCCCCCAACTCCCTCCTCAGTGCAGTTTGAGTGCTGATGTCCAGCCTCGTTGATGGTGAGGGTTCCACATGTACAGATAACTGGTCATGCCAGTTTGGGCTTGAGGAGGTTTGAGAACCTCCCCCTTGAAAGGCCCAGGCACCAGGACACTGTGGTATCTCTCCCAGTGCCTGAATGTGACATGCACAAGGCCTGCTGAGCCTTCCCTGCTCCCCAGCCCAGCATGCACTCTGTCATGGGGCACCCCTCACATAGGCCCTTGCTGTTCCCCTGGCTGGCGTTTCCCTCCCCTCTGAGTCTGTGTGCAATGCCATTGGATCCTCAAACTGAGGAAGGCCCACGGGGACCAGGTAGCAGCACACAGGTTCCCAGCCCACAGATCCTGGGGCGGCTGGTACAGACCTTTGCAACAGAGCTGGAACCTGGGGTCGGATTTCCCTGCCAGGTGGGACCAGCCGTTCCTGTGACCTCACCTGGGCGCTTGCCCAAGCAGTGAGCAGAGGGAGGTCAGGAGAAGTGTCCCAGCCATGGGGACAGCCTGGGCAGCGGCTCAGGCCTGGAAGTGTGTGATATGTTCAGGAATCATCAGACATGGCCAGAGTTTACCTCACTGAGTAAATAAAGGATGGAACAGAGAGGGAGCCCAGGTGCACATCGCTGGGGCTCACACGTCGGGCTAGGTGATTGGACTGGACCCTCCAGCCTCCCAAAAATTCTCCCGTCCATCCCGAGGCCAAGCACTCAAAGCTTGGCAGCCACACCTCAGTAGCAGGCCAGGTGACTGTACATCTCCGGGCCTGTTCAGTCCAGTGGGGCTGTCAGGGGTGATGTATAAGGAGCATGGGGACCCTCTCTGTCAGAGGGACTCTGTCTTCCCTTCCAGCCTCTCTGCCTGGGGACTGGGAACAGAGCACTGAGCAGAGTATGGGGCCCCGGGCTGTAGCAGTGACTAGCCCACTAGTCCTTATCCTCAGGTGTCCTGGCAGCTATACTGGGATGTGTCTTTCCTGCCTCCAGTTTCCCATGTAGCCAGGGTACCCAGGTGTGTTGGGTGAGTCCAATGGCAGCAGATAAACTCAGTTCTCTGTGTGCAGACCAGGAACCTGTGGGATACTCTGCCGTGGTCTACAACCCCCTGGCCTGGACGGTCACCACCATTGTTACCCTGACTGTGGGCTTCTCCAGGGTCAGCGTCACAGATGAGTCAGGCCAGCAAGTGACTGCACAGGTATGGGTGTGACTTCCTGCATGTGGCACAATTGTTGTTGCTGACACTTGCTCTCTGAGGGTGCGTCCAGAAATGGGAACAGTTTTGTTTGTTTGTTTTTTTTTTATGATAGTCACAGAGAGAGAAAGAGAGAGAGAGAGAGAGAGGCAGAGACACAGGCAGAGGGAGAAGCAGGCTCCATGCACCGGGAGCCCGATGTAGGACTCGATCCCCGGTCTCTAGGATCGCGCCCTGGGCCAAAGGCAGGCGCCAAACCGCTGCGCCACCCAGGGATCCCTAGAAATGGGAACAGTTTAAGTGAACATGTGACAATGGGTGCTCCCTTGGAGGACATCCCCATGGGGACCCTGTCCAGTGAGGTTCTGTGGGATCCACCAGGAGGCTGGCACTGGGCTATGGGCCTCTGAAGTGGCCAGAAGGGCCCCACTGTCCCTTCCCAGGAGGTTCTCCTGGGTCATTTGCACAGTTTGGGAGGCTCTTCCCCCCACCCCCCTCCCCGCCATGAGGCATCTTTATATTCTGAATGCCAACTTCCACTTTGTGTGGGAAAGACCCTCAGGAGGCTTCCTGGGGCACTTGGTGGAGGTGCTGATGTTTCAGACTGGCCTGCCTGAAGGTGTGCGCACCCAGATGCCAGCATGCCCGTGATCTGTTCTCATGTCCTTCCACGGCCAGGAGCCAGCAGGGCCCCAGGGACCTGCCTGTCCCCCAATGCCAGTGTTTCCCTGCAGAGGGGCAGGAGCTGCTGACCTCAGCCATTTAGCAGACACTCCCGAGGGCACATTCTGCTCCTGCCAGGGCTGAATGCGCATCCTCAGGACGGCAGTGCTACTGTGGGGAGGCTGTTGTAACACTTAAAGGACACGTGTGGTGTGGAGTGATGACCTGGGGAGCCAGGGCAGCTGGCTTTGCTTGACACAGAAGGAGGAGTTCACGTGACGTGGGCAGGGAGATGGGACAGGCTTGCTCTCACAGACCCAACTCCTAGCACCCCCTTCTTCCCCCACATGCAACAGCATGCAGATAAATGCTCTTAGCAAATATTTCTGGAGACTTGCTTTGTGTCAGGCCTGCCCTAGGGGCCAGGTTTCCTTAATAACCAGGCATATGAAGTCCCTCCCTGCGGAGGACTCATATTCTCACCCTGGGTGACAACAGGAAACAAGTAAGATGGTGTGGAATGTGACAGATGGTGGTGGCTCTGAGAGGAAGTTCTCCAGAGCAGGATGGGGGCAAGTACGGGGTGTCTACTGAATGTCCCACAAGGCCTGGGTGGGACGCTGTGTGCAGACATCCTGGGGTGACTAATGGAGGCCCCAAAGCTACCCCCAGGGACTGGGATGCTGCGTGCTTCCCCTAGAGAGTGAGGGGTTCCGCTGAGTGTACCCTGTGTCCTCCTCCAACCCTCCCACTTCAGGTGACAAGGGGAATGGGAAGGCCAGGAGGGGAACAGGGAAACACCCCCTTGGGAAAGTTGGAGGATGTGAAATCAGGGTCCCCTAAGAGAGCCGACCCTCCAGGGAGAGGGCACATCATGAGCAAAGGAAAGGCTCAGAGGCAGAAAACAGGGTGCTGAGAAAGGAGGGCACTGCTGATGCTGGACCCTGAGGAGTGAGGGGCCAGGGAGGGAGATGGGGCTGGGGAGGGTCCTGTTGAGCAGGGAGGATGCCTAGAGGGAACTCAGCACAGTCCAATGATGCAAAGACCCTGCTGCCCGTGAGCAGTGAGCACCTCGACTGGGAGGTGTGCAAGTCACAGGTTACTGAGGACGCTGAAGGTCTTCCAGGCCTGAAACCAACCACATTGCCCTATCCTTCTGGCCTGCAGATCCAGGAATCAAAGAAGACACAATCTACATATGACCTGCATGTGCTGACCACAATCCCAGGGCTCAGTTACCGATACTACAGCATCAGGAGCACCGAGGGGACCCAGGAGGAGACGAACCAATTGGGTGCCAGTCTGGCCAGAACCTCCAACTTTGGCCGCAAGAAAAAGACACCTGCTGGTCCAAGGGACAGGCACCTGATTCATGTGGAGAATGACTGTTATACTGTGTTCCTGGACCTGGACACTAACCTACTGCACAGCATCTGGGAGAGGTGAGGCGCAGCCATGGTGGCTCTGAGGCAGAGAAGAGCACTGAGACCTGGGCACGTCATTTCCCCACCTGTCTCAGTGTCCTCATCTGCTAGGGGAAATCATCAGAAGGTGACGAAGGCCCTCCCTCTGTTACCCTCTCTATTTCTGCAGTTTTGAGACTAGACAAGTACAATAGAGCCCTTCTTGAATCTGACCATTTCAGGGCTGTTGATCCACATCTACCCACCTTTCTGTCCATCCATCCATCCATCCATCCACCCACTAACTTTTTGTTCATGCATTTACCAATGGCCCAATCACCCATCTATCCTCTCATCCCCACAACCGTCTTTATAGCCACACACAAAACAACCCATCCACCCACCCATCCTCCCCTTCCAGACACCCTCTCATCCATCCATCCATCATTCATCCATCCATACATCCACCCATCCATCCCACCACCCTCCTTCCAACAATCCACCGTACTCTCAGTTTTCTATATATTTATCCAATCGCACATTCAACAATCCATCTACTCACTCAACTATGCACCCATCCATTCACTACCCTCCCATCCACCATATATCTACCCACCCACATACCTAACCACACACTGGTCATCCATCCATCCACTCATCAACTTTTCCACCCATCCATATATCCACCTACTTACCACTCATTCACCCCTACATCTATCCACTAACCACTTAATCTATGTATCTTCTTATCTGTCCATCTCCACCCATCTATACATCCATTACATATCCATGCATTTAGCAACTAATTCTTGACAGCAGAGAAGGCAGGTCACCCCAGGAAAAGGACTCTCAAGTGTTTGGGGCCAGCCCTGTCCATCATCAGGCCACATCCCAGATAGTTGTCATGCCACCCCAACTGCCTCTGCCAGAACAGCCAATTATGTTTCCCAATGTGACATCCAAACAGGATTGCAAGTGGAGGAGGAGCAGGAAGTCTGGGAAGAGTAGCTGGCAGAAAGTGAGGGAAGGAAACAGAAGGGAGGGGGGAGCATGGGTGTGAGGTGAATGGCCCCTGGAGCTCAGCCTGAAGGCAGCTGTCCACAGCTCTGCAGCAACAGAGCATGAGAAAGTCCCCTGCAGTGGGGCCCATCACAGCTCTGTCCTCATCACTCCAAAGATCCTCTTGAGAGAGGATGTGGCAGGTAGGAGGAGGGCCCAGTGGCCAGCATAGGGGGTGTGGGGAGCACCTGGAACCGGGGGAGGGCCAGACAACTTCTGAGCCTCCCTGGTCAGGACGTGGAGGGCAGAGTCCCCAGGCTGGCCTTGGGATGCTTCTGAGTCAGGCCTCGCCCCCCAGCTAGACAGTGCTTGCTGGACCAGCCCCACCTCACATTCTCTGTGTGCACCCAAGGGAGGCCTCATCCTCAGCCACATCCCCCACCCAACATTTCTGGGTGTACAGCTCATGGTTGCCGACCATCCACCTGACCCCCAAGCGTCTCTATTACCTTTGGCTGGAATGAGGACTGGGTATTTCTCATAAGACTCTGAAATCCCCTCCAGGGTAAACTGCTAGCTCAGCACCTGAACCCTGGTCACAGAGAAAAGGAGCTGTGGGAATGGAGAGCAGAAGGCGCAGAGGACGCTTGGTGGTCAGGAGGCATCTGGAGCCAGACCTGAGGACTGGAAGGGCCAGAGCATCCACGGGCACAGACGAGGGGACAGCTAATTCCACAGAGGCAGTCTCCTGTGCAGAGGACTGAATGGGAGGCCACCATGTACAGACCACCCCAGGCCAGGTTGTGTTGAGGTTGAGCTTCTCTTCTTACATGACAGCACTATGGATATAATTCACTGACCATGCACTTCAGCCATATAAATGGTCCCCATCTATGGTATCAGGACACTCACAGGCCCTGTTAGCATCACCATAGTCATGGCCCTTCTCACCCTTCTCTGTCTGGATGTGTCTAAATTGGACATTTCATACCTTGGGATCAACTCCAGTTAGCCCTTTGGGGTTGGCTTCCTTCCCTAGAATCTTGTGTTCAAGCTCCCCATCCATGCTGTCAGGTGCATGAGGGACTCAGCCCTCCTTGGGCTATTATTCCCACGACAGATGGAGCACATTTTGCCCATCCAGTCTCTGGCTGATGACGCCTGGGGGATCTGATGAAGAGAAGGGGGCAGCCTGCAGCCAGAGGGAAAAGCCTTGGGGGCCTGACTCATGAAAAGGATTCTTTTCTGGCCACTCCAGAGGGACTACAGGGGCCCTTCATGGATGACTCCCCTGCCTTCCCTGTCCATCCCCCCAAAATTAGCACAGAAAACCCCAAAATGGCTGAGAAAGTGACACTTCTCCATGCTCTGTGGCTGCAGGGCCACGCCTAATCCTGGGTACATGGCTGTGCCTCGGCTTAGACCAAACAGAGATGTACACGTGTACACCATACACAGGTCTACAAGGCTCTGAGTCCCCACCCACTCCTCCCCGCTCCTCCGACCCAAGCAAAACATTGGAACAGAATAGAAAGAGCGAGAATATACAGTTGAGTCAGAACCTGAGTCCTGGACTGAGCATTTCCCAGACATGTGATCCTATGCCAGTGATGTCAGGTCCCCAGTCTTAGGTGACTCGGTAGCGAAACGGGCTAATATTCTCTGCTCTCGAGAGTCAGGAGAAGGTGAAATGAGAGACAGTGCTGGTTCCTGACATCTGGACACCTTGGGGTCAGCATGACAAAGTCTTTGTGGGTCCTCCTTGGGGTACCTCTGAAAGGTATAGGGTGGCCCTGGAGGCAGCCTGATAAGCAGGCACCATTCCCTGGGATGATTCCTCTGGGGTAGCATGACTGCTTCTTGTAGGCTCTCAGGGGCCTAGGGTGAAGCCTCCGTCCCCCTCCCATTTTGGGATCCCAACTGGCACATGGAAAGATTTAAGGCAGTTTTGGCTCAGGGGAGGGGCGAGACCCAGGGGCTTTATCTGAGGCAAGTGCACGGGTGTCACCGAGTGGCCTCCTGACTGTCACTGAGCTCTGCAGAGATCACTTTTCTTCACTTCAGGTGGAGCTTGGTGTCTGCATAGAGGGCTTCTAACCGGCTTCCAGATGAGAGGACGATGCTTGGGACACGTGTGCACGAAGATAATGCTGTGTCCCATTTCTTGTCTCTGCAGAGGGAGTAACCGCACAGTGCAGGTGACCCAGGAGTTCATGGAATACCATGCCAATGCTGATTTGAAATATGGCTTTGTATCTGATAATTTTGTGTTTATGCCCATCGACTCTGCAAAGCGCCCATGGAACAGTGTGGGAATGCAGATTGTGGCGGGAAAGCTCATGACTGAGATCCGGCAATTCTTCTACAGGTGGGCTCAGGCTCCTTGGTGCTTGCCGGCAGGTGTGGGAGGGAACGCGGGTCCATGTTTGTGCCGGATCCCTGCTCCTGGGCCCCTGCTTGGCACATGGTCCTTCTGGATGGGAGCTTGAGGAAGACATGATTGCTCTGGCCTAGGGCATCCTGGCTCCATCGCACGTGCTGGACCTTGTAGGGGGTGTCCAGGTTCAGAGCTGGGATAGGAACCCACAGGGACAATGAGGGGACTCTTGTGTTTTCATGAGAGCACACACCTAAGCCATCCGGGTGAGGCACGCCAGCTCCACGTTATCCCAGCTCCACATCATCAGGGGACCAGGTTCTTCCCATTATGTTGATGAGGAATGCTCCCTGCCCCCCTGTCCCCCTGCCCTGGATGAGGGAAGGAAGGAGGGAGGGAGGGAAGGAGTGAAGGAGGAGGGAGAGAGAGTGAGGGGAGGGAGGGAGGGGCATTCAAAAGGAACCCAGAGCCTGAGCCACCCATTCCCTATTCTGCACCAGGAAGGTGGGGGACAGGAATCACACATATGCCATCTACTCCCGGCTCGCCCACGTGCCCCTGGCCCAGGGAGCGGAGCTGCTGTGCCGGCGCATCGAGCAGGAGTACCGGGTGGGCCCCTTGGAGCTGAACCGTGAGGCCATCCTGAGGACCAGCACCAGTCTCCACAACCAGCAGGTCCTCCACTCAGACAACAACGGCTACCAGATGCAGCGGAGAGTCTTCCAGAAATACTCGAGCAATGGCATCGCCCGGGTATGCTCTAGGATGCCTGCTTGCTCTGTGGTCCCGGAGCGCTGGGGGGTGGGGGTGGGGTTCCCTGATGGTGCTTTTCCAGAAGACAGGAGGAGGAGGCCCATTGCAGCTTCACCATGGAGCGGCAGAGGCCTCTGGACAAAACTCCAGCAGAGCCCCCTTGCCTACCTGTGCCAATAGGAGTGAGGCCCAGGCTGGGCCACCTGCAGTGTCTGAAATCCGGGGCCACCACATGCACTGGACTGTCCCTGTCCCTGTCTGTGCCTCGGTTTCCTCTTGTGGAAGATGAGCGCCTCCTGTGGGGTGTCCTGAGATTCAGGTTGAGCGTGCCTGACCCATGTCAGGTGCTGCTACAGAGACGTTCCCCGGTAGCTTCTTCCAAGCACTGAGCGTGGCCCGAAGCCAGATGGGCTCCCACATCCTAGGCCTCCGCCCTGTGATCCTGGGCAAGTGGGCCGGCCTCCCTATGGCTCCCTGACCCAAGAAAGGGAAGAAACCCAGGGCTGTGAGGGTCAGGGGGGACAATCCAGGTGAAGCCCCTGCTGGGGGCCTCCTGTGCCCTCAGTAATCAGTTCTTTTTCCTCCTGAGGGGACGCAGAGGCATGTGTCCCCACCCTGCTCTGCTTGTGAGCTCAGGTCCCTTCGTCCCTACCTGCTGTGCAGGGGCTGCTGACAGTCCCCATTGGCTCCAGCTGAGCACAGAGCCTGGGGACAGGGGCCGCTCTCCCAGAACACACATGGCCCTTTCTCTCTGGAGTAACTCCCCACCTAGCTCCCCTATCAGGCTGGACCCCACACACCCCCTCCTCACTCCTGCAGGACTGTGCACACTGCATCTTTGGGCCCTTTGTACTGGTGGGGAAACCGAGCTTGAGTGGGCTTAGTCCCCAGCTCATATGGTCAGAAGCAGTGGAGCTGGATTGGAGTGACAGTCTGTTGGTGTCCAAACGTCAGAGCCTCTAACCTCTGTCTCCCTTCTCCACCCTGAGCTGGCGCTCTGTGCGTGGGGTGGAGGGTGTGGGGTGGCTGGAGGGGGACCCGGACCGAGAGGCCTTCCTGTCCTCTGCCCCACCCGCCAGCCTGGCAGTGTTTGTGTCCACAGAATTACTATCCCATGGCTCAGTCCGCCTTCATTGAGGACGGCAGAAGCAGGCTGGTGCTGCTGTCCAAGCAGGCACACGGCGTGTCCAGCCAAGAGAACGGGCAGGTGGAGGTAGGAAGTGGGCCCTGCTGGTCACTCAGGGGTGGGAGCAGGTGGGCGGCAGGGCCGGTCAGACAGCTCTTCCCTGCAGGTCATGCTCCATCGCCGGCTTTGGAACAATTTTGATTGGGCTCTGGATTATGATCTCACCCTGAATGACACCTCCACTGTCTACCCTGTGCTCTGGCTCCTGCTGGGACCCCAGTCTCTCACCACCCGCCTGCGTCAGAGGTGTGGGCTAGCGCTGCAGCACCCACCCGTAGTGCTATTAAGAGAGCTGAATGGTAAGGGAGTGTTCACCCCAGAATGAACCCCCTGGCTGGGATGGACCTGGGGATCGTGTGGACCACCATGATCTGGAAACTTTGATCAGAAGGGAGCTCAGGGGTCTCTGATCCAAGCCCTCGTTTAATGTGTGGGCAAAGTGTGTGCAAATACTTTCAGGCTTCACCCAAGCTTATACATGGAGTAGCGAGCACTTCTGAGAATCACACAGATTCCTCTTTGTATCCTCTCCCTGAGTATCCCTCACTTTCTGCTCTGATGACTCTTTATCTTCCATAATATGACATGTATGGCTAGATGGCTTCACCCCTAGTAGATCAACATTAAAAGACTTGTTTTAATCGCCCAGGAGGAGGCACGGGGCCCAATCCTCGTGTTCTGGGTGTGCTGTCACCAGGCAAGGTTAGTTCAAGTTCATGGTGTGATGTGCAAAATTCATGCATTGCCTCCACTCAAAATTCGTTGGTTTTTTTAAGACTTTCTTTATTTATTCATGATAGATACACAGAGAGAGGCAGAGACATAGGCAGAGGGAGAAGCAGGCTCCCTGCGGGGACCCTAACGTGGGACTTATACCCAGGACACTGGGATTCACGCCCTGATCCAAAGGCAGATGTTCAACTACGAGCCACCCAGGCGTCCCTCAGTCAGACTTCTTCAGATTTAAAACAGCCTATGTCTTTACAGAAATAATTGAAGATGAGAAGCAATAAGTAATGATCAGGTGTAAATATGGTACTCTGCAGCAGCTTTTAAAGAATGAATCATTTAGATACAGTTCGTATCCTTCCCTTGATCCTTGAACTGTTCCTTTCTACTCACTTGAGAGGTTTGGAAGAGAATGTGGTTATGATTTATCCTTGTTTCAGTTTTAGAGCAGGACCCTCCCAGGGCTGTAGAAGCGGGCAGGCTGCTGCTCACACGTGCACAAAACACGGGCTGAGTGCCTGCTGTGTGCTGCACACTGAGGATGGGCAAGGGCCAGGCCTCTCCTGCAGGATTTCTCCTGAGCTATGGGCTGGGGGCCATGCTCATACAGATCCAGGCTTCAGGGAGCAGAGGCAGTGGGACTGGGCAAAGGACAGGTCCTCTCCTGGAAGGAGGGCCTTGGGTGCTTCTGAGCAGGGGACCAAGGATGACAAAACAGGGGAGGAGCTGGCATCCTAGACCTTGAATTGAAACCGAGGCTCTGGGCACCCTGGGTGGCGCAGCAGTTTAGCGCCGCCTGCAGCTCAGGGCATGATCCTGGAGACCCGGGATCCAGTCCCACATCAGGCTCCCTGCATGGAGCCTGCTCCTCCCTCTGCCTGTGTCTCTGCCTCTCTCTCTCTAGCTGTGTCTCTATGAATAAATAAATAAAATCTTTAAAAAAAAAAAAAAAAAGAAACCGAGGCTCTGTGTGAACCTGCCCTGTGATCTAGAACAAACCATATCACCTCTCTGGGCGGATGTCTCCCCATCTGTACTTGGAAACAGCTGGACTAGAGATTCAGGATCCTTCCAACTCTTAGACTCTGTGGTCTGGGCCCCTGGACGTGTGGGAGGGAAGGCATTCAGGTGGAAGGTTGTCCGTGGGCAAAGGCTAGACAGGGGTGCCCGAGGCGCTTGGACCAGCAGGGGCTTCATGCTGTCCTCCCTCAGGGGCACGCGTTGGCAGGAGCCGGATCGCCTGGAATGGGGGCCAGAGTGTGCATAGCTCCCGGTGCCAGGAGGAGGCATGGGGCCCAATCCTCGTCCTGGCTCTGTGTGTCTGCCCTGCAGAGTCTGCCCAGATTGTTCCAGGCCCCCAGCGGCAGCAAGAAGCTGTGACCCTGCCCCCAGGTCTTCACCTGCAGATCCTGAGCATCCCGGGCTGGAACTACAGCTCCAACCACACGGAGCACCTGCAGGATCTCCAGAAACGTGAGCCGGGTGTCAGGGAACCAGAGTCACTCCTCCCTCCCCATGTCAACCTGGCCCCACGCCCATCACCGGACAAAGTGGGCTCCTCTCAGAGCTGTCCTGGCTCTGCATGGTCCCCTGTTCCCCTTATCTGCCCAATGGGGAGACCCAGGCCCACAGAGAGGCAGTGGGGGGACTGGGGTCCCTCAGTAGGCAGGACACCCAGTCGGCAGGGCCCCAGAGGAGGACCTGTCCACACCCAGTCTCTGAGGATCCCTTCTATCCCCCACCACCAAACCCCAACCATCGTCCACCTTTGCCGGATGCTCAGCCTGCTGCGGAGTCTGCTTCCTCAGGGACTCCTCCTGGAGCCCGGAACAACTGAGTCCCACTCGTCCTCTGAACTCAGGAAGCCTGACTATCCGGGGCTTCCATTCATTCACTGAACAAATGTCTCCTGTGCCAGGCAGTGGGTAATCAGCAGAGACAATGGTAGGCAAAGACCCTGGACTCACAGAGTTCTCAGACTAGACAGGGAAGCCACCAAGTCACCAGCCAGTGACATTAATGTTCACAATAAGCCCCCAGCCGGGCCTGATGGAGATGACACCTGCCATGAACTGACCCATCCTGTTGACAAAGCTCCAGCTGTACCTTATCTTCCCCTTGGCACTGTGAGCAGCTCACAGGCAGGGCTGGCTGCCCCGCAGGCACCCTCTTGTCCCCAGAGCCCCACCAGGGCCTGGCAGGCACCAAAGATGGCTCAGTAGTAATCCTCAAATTAAGAAGGAGGGAAGGAAGGAAGAGGCAACAGGCCAGATAACACCTTCATCTGATCCAGTGGATCTCTGGGACCCTGGCACATGTCTGCAGCCAAGTAGCTTTCTAGCACTGAACCCCATCATCAGGAACCCCCTTGTCATAGAGGACCCTGGACCAGCAGCCTCTCCTACAAGGAGGAACATTCCCTTCCCCCTTCTGTGTGTGGCCACACACAAGACCACTGGTTTCCTCTAGACAGCTGCTCCCAATAGGAGGAGAGGGGTCTGGCCTGGGGGTGTCCCCAGACTCACTGAATGAAGGTCCCTCCTCCCTGGGGAGCAGTGAGTGAGTGGCAGAGGGAGAGGAGCCTCAGGGATGCAGTGAGACACCCTCACTGCTGTCCTCGAGCTCAGGGCCACCTTATGAAGTAGGTATGTGGTCATGGACATCAACGCATATCAACCCCACCCCCACCCTCACCCCCAACAGGACATAGACAATGTGCCCGACCCTCAGGCTGAATCCACAAACATCGCCCTGGAACACATCCAAGAGATTTTACAAACCCCTTGTTCTGCAGGACCCAGGAGCCCCACATTCCCCCGACCCAACACAGCCTCGTTCCTTTCTCCCCTGTGTCACAAGTCCAGTGGGCTCAGCTCATGGCCCTTGTCACTGTGGCCACCAGGGTCCCCAGCTGATGGAGGCCATATGCAGCACCTGCTTCCTCCTTCCCGGGGATAAAGAAGTTTGTGCAAGGGCTACATCCCTCCTGCTCCCTGTGCCTTGACCTGGGAGGGTTGGGGCCACACCACAGCACACAGGGGGCAGGGAAGAGCAGTCCAGCAAGCACTGGGTGGCTTAAGGATGAGCCTAGTGAGGAGCACAGCAGCAGACGAGGGCAGAGACTTGCAGGCACCCCTCAGCATTAGTCCCTGGGTGTGGGGAGAGGACTTGGAGGCTGCCAGACCTGGGCTGGAATCCTCCGTCTGGTGCCACCAGCTGTGTCTTTGGGCAAGTGGCCAGACCTCTATGAGCCTGGTTTCCTTGTCATCAAGGAGGGACTGGGTCAGCTGCCTCCCAGGGAGGTGGGGAGTAGGAAGTGCTGGGTCCTGACTAGAAGATTTGGGGCCAATATGGGTCCTTCTGTCCCTGAAGGCCATCGAGGGAAGGCCAAGGCTGACCTTCGCCGTGTCCTCCTGCGGCTCCACCACCTGTATGAGGAAGGCGAGGACCCGGTCCTGTCTCAGCCAGTGAGGGTCAATCTGCAGGTAAGTGCCCTCAGATCCCTGGGACAGGCTTCCTGTCTAAGAAGCCCCAGCAGGGACACAAGCCCAGGGTGAAAATCCCCTCTGGCAAAGACATGGGCAAAGAGATGCCTGTGGGAGCTCTGGTTCAACCTGGAGTGGATGCTGTTGGGGGCGCAAGGACACCTTGCCCCCCTCTTCCTGCATTTTTTCTGCATTTCTACTTCCTCTGCTCCCTTCCTGGGTCACATTGTCCTGCTGCCAGTCTTGGTCAGCGTGCTGGCTCTTTGCTTCTGCTCGTCCCTGTGGTCACCCACCGCACGGGCCTCCCAAGCAGATATAGCAGCAGAAGCTGGGAAGACAGAGGCAAAAAAAGCCCTTGCACCCTGTGCTTTCTCTCCTGTCAGTGCCAGGAAGCTTCTCCAAAACCTCCCTATCTCCTGGACAGCAGAAGGTCCCTTCCTATTCAGGCCAGAATGGGCCACCTGCCTCCCTCCCTGCACAGGAGGCTGGGTCTGTGCTTATTTGGCACAGGGGAGGGATAAGGATGCCTGGCCTCATCCCTGGGGCTGCCTGCTGAGCCTTACCAGGGAGAAGGGGTTTGGATGCTGGAGGCAGCTCCTGTGCCTGCCACCCCCGAGTATGCTCTTCCAGGACAGTGCCAGGGGAAGCATGCTGATCCCGGCCAGTGTCCTCATATCTAAAATGGGGACACAGTTCCTGTCTGGGGATCTGCAGTAAGAATTAAGGAGGAAGTGTGTTGTGCCCAGGGTGAGACTGCCCCCCCTACTCCTGCTTTACCTGCTCTGATCTGGGGCTTGGAGTAGCTCACCCTCCCTGTGCTCCTGTCTCTGCAGGCTGTGCTGCAGGGGCTGGGGTCCGTGGGGGCGGTGGAGGAACGCTCACTGACAGGGACCTGGGATGTGAACACACTACACCGCTGGAGCTGGAGGACACAGGAGCCTCCCCACCACAGAGGTTTGGGAGCCCCTGGTTCAGGCCTTGCCTGGGTATCCCAGCAACCCCATAGCCTGGCTTAGAAGCTCTGCCCCTTATGGCCTGTGGGACCTTGAGCAGGCTCCTTAGCTCCTCTGAATCTGCACAGGTCGGTGTGTGTGCATGCCTGCATGTGTGTCTGAAGACCACACCCCCTGCCTCTGTCCTGGCTGAGTCCTGACCTGGCAAGCATATTCCCGGGGGTTCTGACACCTACCATCTTGTGCCTCGCACTGCACACACACCATCAGTTCCGGGGGACCACAGGCAGCTCATGCTTCCCAGTGTTTCCCATGCTGTTCCCTCTGCCTGCATGGCCCTTGTCCCTTTTCCTCTGACCTGCTCCTACTCAAGCTGCTATGAAGTCCTGGGCTGGATCAGATTCCTCCTCTCCTGTCCTCTCCCCCTCTTTCCTGTTTGCTGTGGATCTTCTCTGTGCACTGCACACAGCATAGTGCCATCTACATTGCTGGACACTTAATCATGTGGAGATGGATGGATGGATCATGGATGGATGGACAAATACATAAATGAAAGGGTTGATGGATTGGTAGATGGTTGATGGATGATGGATAAGATGATGGATGAGTGGATGGATGTATGGATGGATGTGTGACAATTAGATGGATGGATGATGGATAGGTGATAGATGATAGGTGGATGGATCGATGGATTGGTAGAGAGGTGATGAATGATGGATAGATGGTGGATTAATGGATGGATGGATGGATGAATTGATGGATAAATGAATGGACAGGTAGATGTGTAGATGGATGAGGATGATAGATTGATGATGGATGAATAGATGGATAATCGGGTATATGGAAGGGTATTTGTGTGAAAAGATGGGTAGAAGGATTGATGGGTGAATAGGTGGTGAATGGATAGATGGGTAGATGGGTGAATAATTGATGGAGGATTAGATGATGAATGATGGAGTGAAGGATGGATGGCTGGGTGGATGGATGAATGGGTCTATGGAATTATGAGTTTTTGAATGGGTGAAAGGACAAATGGATTCATGGATGGACCAAGGATCACGGGTGGAATGATCCATGGGATGAATGGATGAAGAAATTTCCCTGCCAAGGCTGAATTTAGTGGAGCCCAGTAATACAAAGTGCAGGCCCCACCCAAAGACCTGAGTGAGAAAGCTTTAGGCACCGAGTGCTACACCCTATTGGGAATGAGGCCATGTATGGCCAGGACCACCTAGCTATTACCCTCATGGGAGAGCCAGAATACAAGGGGTACATGGCAGTGGGAGTCCCAGCAGGAGGAGGGCACCCAAGGGCCTTCACAAAGGAGCCACAACAGAGTGGAGGCAGGTGTGGTATATGAGGGGGATGCTGGGTGGAAATGTCCTGGGGAAGCAGGTGGCTCTAAGGACAGACCACCTCTGCTCCCCCAGGCAGCTCCAGATCTCACTCAACACCCCTGCAAGGCACCAAGGTCACCATCTACCCGAAGGAAATCCGGACATTTTTCATCCACTTTCGTAGCCATGAGTCCCTGGCAGACTCTGTGGCCCCAGGGAGGCCCCAGGGATCCCAGAAAAAGGAAGACGACCCGGGACATGGAAAAGCATGGAGGGATGGGGGATGAACAGCTGTCTGCCTGATAGGCTAATGTAGAAAATGGTCAGGTTGGGGGGTTTGTTGTGCTTTAAATAAAAATTGCATTAAACAGACCCACACAGTCTCCTCGGGCACTAGAGCCGGCCTCTGTGATCCTCCCACCTGGTGATGTCTGCCCACACACTCACACTCCCCATGCATGTGCAGGAGTCTTCAGAAAGCTCCCATAAGGCAGTGAAATACCCAGCGTGACAGCAAAGGCACCTGCCATACAGACCCCATCCCTTCTCACCCAGGTCACCAGTGTTACGTGCAGGCCTACTGTGTGGCTAATGATGGGGTGGGAGGGGTGGGTACTGCAAGGGCCTTCAGAGCCTGTGGGTAGCATGAGGGCCTGGTGTCCATTCAGGATGGAAAGGTTGCCCCAGACCTGGGCAGGAGTCATGGGAAGAGCAGGCTGACCTGAGTCCTGAGCTCCACAGACTGGGTGATGAGACCAGGCAGCAGGATCTGCGGGGTATTTCTGTTCTCACTTCAGGGCTCCTGGGTGGCCCTCCATGGACTATATTGTAAATGGTGCAAGTACCCGGTCCCATGTGACCCTCTCCTAGGACAGGGACCCGGGGTGGGAGTTGGAGCCTGAAGGGGATTCCCAGCACCTTCAGCTCTATGGGCTGACTCTAAATGTCGACGCCCAGGGTGCCTCCTATATGGAAGAGAATCCTCTGGGGAATTCTGGTGAAGCGTAATAGCAAGTGTCCTCCCACACACACCCTGTGTGAGACACAGCCAGCCTGCAGGGAGGAGCTACCTACAGGATCAGGGTCTGGAGGAGATCTGTGCCTCAGTCTCGACAGTCCCCATCCCTTCCCCTCCTGTCCTTTTCTCCTTCCCTCTCTCTCCCCTCTTTTCTTCCTCTTCCCTCCCTGTCATCTCCCTTCCATTCTCCCAAACTTCCTCCCTGTCCCATCCCTGAGATCCTATACAACTGCTAGAACCTGCCCTGGAGCCTTGTGTCCCATCCTGTTGGGGACAGAGACAACAAGGTAGCAAATAAGACATTAAATGATTTCAAGATACCCTGGAAAAGCCAACACAGGGAACAGGATAGAGTGACTTAGCCTTTTCCCATTCCCATCCCACCAGCAAGGGTCTATTGCCACTTGGCAGGATCAATATCCAGCATTTAATTCGAGAGCACTCAATGCTCAGGTCATGATCTCAGGGTCCTGGGATGGAGTTCCAAGACAGGTCAGGCTCCCTGCTCAGTGGGTAGTCTGCTTCTCCCCCTCCCTCTGCCCCTCCCCCACACACCCCTAATCCCTGCTCATGCGTTCTCTCTCTCTCTCTCTCTCTAAGTAAATAAATAAAATCTTTAAAAGAGAGAGAGAGATGAAGTGGACAGAGCTTTGGGAAATAAGCAGACTCAACTTCTGGAAACTGGCACAGGAATGGGGAGAAAAGCATACATGGGAACACCAAATTCTGTGTGTGAGCTTTACCCAAAACTCTGGCTTCACAAGGCAAATGTCAAATAGCCCAGCAAGTGTACGAGAACCACACTGAGATTCTAGCCACTCCCCTCTGCAAGGGAGACATCTTACAGTGTGAGTTCACATGTTAAATGTACATAAAAGGCAATACCCTCAGGAGTAACAGAATAGAATTCAAACTATCTAGTACTCACAACATTCAGGACAGAAACCAAAATTACTTGATAAGAGAAGAAACTCAACTCAGAGAAAAGAGAGTCAGCTGATCCCAAATGTTGGAACTTTCAGATAATAATTTTAAAGAAGATGGGGTGCCTGGTTGGCTCAGTTGGTAAAGTGTGGGACTCTTGGTCTTGGGGTCATGAGTTTGGGCCCCTCATTGGGGGTAGTGTACTTAATAAAGAACAAAATTTTTTAAATAATACTTTTAAAGCAACTCTTGTCATGATGCTTGAGAATGTAAAGAAAAATATGTTCATGATAAATTGATATAGATAATCTCGAACTATTAAATGAGCTACATGGAAAATCTAGAACTAAAATTATAGTATCTGGGGGGTTCCTGTGTGGCTCACTTGGTTGAGCATCTGCCTTTGGCTCAGGTCGTGATCCAGGGGTCCTGGAATCGAGCCCCATGTCAGGCTTCCTGCTAGTGGGGAGTCTGCTTCTCCCTCTGGCCCTCTACCCTGCTCATGCTCTCGCTCTCTCTCTCTAAAATAAATTAATTCTAAAATCTTCAAAAAATAAAATATAGTATCTGGGATAAAAAAATTCACAACATGTGCTTAAAAAACAGTACATATTCTACAAGAAATCCTCAGTTGAACTTGAAGAGAGATGAGTAGAATCTACCCAATCAGAAGAACAGAGGAAGGATATCAAAATAATGTAAACCAAACCTTCAAGGTCTGTGGGACAATACCAGAGTCTACAAGTGTAGGTCAGTGTTGTCACAGAAAGTGTGACAAGAGAGAACAAGGCAGACAAATGTAATGATGGCTAAAAATGTTCCCAATTCAGGAAGAAACATATACAATGAAAAATATCCCAAGGCACATGTCATGGTTAAACTACTAAAAACCAAAGAGAAATACTCAAAAGCAGCAAGAGAAAATAAAAGACGTATTACAGACAAGGGAAGGACCGTGTGACCATCACTGACTTCTCATCAGAGATAATGGAGGCCAGAAGTCAGTGGAGTGACATCTGGGATGTATTGGAAAAATCTGTCACTGAAAAAATGCTATCTTCCATGAAAATATTCTCCAATAATGAAGATGAAATAAAGACATTTCAGATGAAGAAAAAAAAACTCAGAAAATACAGTGTTAGCAGACCTGCGTTCCAAAGAATGCTAAAGGCAGCCCTCCAGAGTGACAATCAACATGCAAAGTGGAAACCTGAACCTTCCAGAAGGAATGAAGACCATTGGAAATGGTGAGTTCATGGGTAAATGTAAGAAACTTGTTTCTCCTCATTTCTTTACAGTGCATGCAATTATGCACAGAGAACTGATTACATTGCGGGGGTTATAATGTACCTTAGATATAATACATTCGATAACAATAGCAAAAAGGATGAAGGGAGTGTACCTTTCTGTTTGTGGGGTGCTTACATTCTTTGAAGTGGCCCAAGATTGACGAAGTCCTCTGTGAACAGCTGAGGATGTATATAGTACAATCCTAGAGCAATTGCTGAAAATTTAATGAGAGACAGAGACAGGACTGAAGAGCCCACAGAAAATTGAAAATGGAATTCTAAAAAAATGTCCAAGAATGAAATACCGATTCGTGCAAAAATACAGATGAGTCTCATGGACCTGCAGAGCCCAAGAATACAAACACAAGAGGACACAGTGGAAGACTCCACTCATACAGCATTCTAGATCAGGCAAATTGATGTGTTGGCTCTTCAAAAATCAGAAATGGTTGGCCCTACGAGGCAGAGGACAGTCTACCAGACAGGAAGCAAGAGATCTTTCTGAGGTGATGGCATGCACCACATTTGTCAAAACTCATCACGTTGAATACTCAGGATCTGTTAGCTTTACTGTATGACATTTATACCCCAATTTAGACTTTTTAAATTTAAAATGGTTATAAGAGTCTCTGTATCATGATTCTGGCATTTAGATGGAAAGCCAACCGCTGAACACCAACAGCACCGAGGATACGGCTCTGCCAACACCCATAGCAGATGTCATTCCTGTGAACACAGAGCACAAAGGTAACCAAAAAGCCACCAGAATGAGATCAGCAAGGCTTCTCTGAGAAGTGCCTTCTTTTTTATTTATTTATTTATTTATTTATTTATTTATTTATTTATTTATTTATGATAGTCACACAGAGAGAGGGAGAGAGAGAGAGAGGCAGAGACACAGGCAGAGGGAGAAGCAGGCTCCATGCACCCGGAGCCCGATGTGGGATTCGATCCCGGGTCTCCAGGATCGCGCCCCGGGCCAAAGGCAGGCGCCAAACTGCTGTGCCACCCAGGGATCCCTGAGAAGTGCCTTCTGAAGAAAGATCATTGAAAGGAAGGGATCAGTCATGAAAATGCAGAGGAAAGAACTCCAGGCATAGGAGGCAGGAGAAGGAAGGGACCGGAGTCAGTGTCCCAGTTCCCTACTGCTGCATCACAAACTGTTGCTTAAAACAACAACGTGTTATTATCTCCATGGTTCTGTGGACTGACAAGACCATCCCAGAAACATGCAACTTCAGGTTCCTGAGCCGGGGTCCCTGACCTTCCCTTCTCTGAGGTTGGAAAGGAAGCAACCACCATGATGCTTAATGAAGGTGCGGCGGGAGAGGGCTTGGTCTGACTCTGCCATTCATAAGCTATTGGCCCTGGCCTGGTCACTCCACCTCTCTGAGCCTCAATTAATTGCATCTCCTAGAGGATTGTTGTGAGCATCAGTGAGATAAGGCATATTGGAGCCATCTCACTAGCCTTATTTCTGTTACAAGTACCACCATCAATACTTACTGAACACCTCTGATGTGTCAGAAACCCCTCTGGAGCTCCCTCGCTTCCAGGTGTGATGTCTGGATCTGGGATGAGCCAGTCACACCCTGACTCACTGTGGCCAACTGGAGGACTCTGGTCAGACTGCAGTTCTGCTGTTGACCTGACACCTTCTTCTGCTATAAAACTCCAACCACAACCTTGACCTTGCAGTTTCCTTAGATACATCTACAGAGGTCTGAATGCCATGGCCAGCACACAGTGGCACCAAAGCAGTGACAGCTGCCATTATTCTCAGGGCCCTTCCCATCAGCTGTGCACTGGTTCCATGCCTTATGGGCAATTCCCCTATAGATCCTCAAATTTCTGGAGAAACACCCCCATAGGGGCTGGTGCATTGTACAGATGCCCTAGAAGCTTCCTGCCTCTATTGAACCCTTTAGAACAAAATCAACAATGTGGAT